CAAAATAGTATAAAAAAAACTTAACAAAAATTGTTTATCAATAAAATAATAATATAAAATGATGATATATTTTATAATAAAACTAAATTTAAAAAACAATAGAGAGACTATTATTTTACATGTAGGTATTTCGACAAAATTCAATGGACTTAAATTTTGATTTTAAACACACACCAGTAGAAACGCTGTTTTTTTGCATTAAAATGCTACTTCAAATTGTCAATTTTTAAAAGTTTTCTTCCGGGGAGGGGACTCCCTCCCCGGACTCCACCCCAGCATTGCGCGTAATATTCGTTTTTGCAAAAAATTTATCTGGCCCATTAGTCCCCTTATTCAGATCCGACGCTGGTCAAGGGTGTCACGATTTTTTATTTTTCAATCGGGTGCCACTCAATGAAAAAGGTTGAAAAACACTGCCCTATAGAATGGAATGCGTTCTTGAAGGCATAATTGGCCACCGACACTACAAAACATTTTTGATAAGAAAAAATCTCTGGAAGTGTTTTGAAAGATTTATTGAGAGCACCAGGGCTCTTCTGCCAGACTTCTACAGGAAAGAAAAAGTTCTTCAGAATGAAAACAAGAACAGACAAGATGAGCAGGAAGACAGTGAAAAATCGGAAAAGTGATGTTATCAGCGATTGATTGATCTGCCATGTAGAATTCTTTTGTACATAATTTAGTTGTCTAGTATTAGTTTAGTTTTAGATTCTAGATTAAAAAAAAAAAATTCCATTTATATGTATCGGGTCCTCACGTACCATGTAATCTGTATTATTATATCATAGTAAGCTGATATTTACATTCTCTCTGCATGTTAAAATTGTAATCAGTTCTTAATGTTATTGTAACATTGCTGTGTTCAAGGTTAGTTTATACCTACCCATATGTAAAGGGTTTTGCATTTTACTGTAACCGGACCATTTCTCGTAATTGTTAATACTGTATAACGGTCTTGTCAACTTTTGTAATTTTGGTTATTAATAATTTCCGATGCAGTGCTCTGAGGTCCTAATAACTTTTTTCAGCGTTACTTTTTCCCTTTTCCTTTATACTTCTCCCTTCAGAACCCTTCCTTCAACCTTTTCTTCACTCCTTTCTCTTTGTAGTGGGCTAAGTTTGCAAAAGCAGACAGCCCTTCCTCCTCCTTTATTATTATTGCTATAATTTGTAACCCTACATCTATAAATATCTCCAGCAGAAAATTTTTTAATAAATTATAATATAGACAAATGTTTTTGATCTACGAATAACAAAACTGCATCAGATTTCAGTTGTTTTCCAAACTAGAATGCTAGCTTGAACATCGTGTATTTTGAATATTATCGAATAGGTTTAATTACAGTATTTACATGTACACTACAGTATGTCCACTGTATATGTAGAGAGGTCTGTGGAAGTTCTAGAATGTTTTCCAACTCAGGTGGAGTTGGAAAACGTTTGTCTGGCTTGTTCGAGACATGTTTCTGTATTCTGGTTCCCATGAAACGTTTAATGGACCCAATATATAGAAGGTCCCTATTGCATCTGGTCCACTAAACATTCCATGGAAACCAAAATACAGAAACATGTCTGAGACAAGCAACATTCCAGAACTTCCACAGACCACTAAAGCGAATCCAAGAATAGTGGCAGACTTCATGTGGGTCAAACTTTTCCTCACTACACCCCACACAGAGCATCTCAGGTGGTTGAAGGCAGTAGAAATCTTTAAAGCTAATTTTACATCATCTTATATAAATTTTAAGGAGGAAATGATTTTGTTGATGGCCTGGCAGACTCTACTTGACACAGTGGTATAGTTGTTGGTTGAGCCATCACTGTGCACAGAACAGCACATGCGTGGTTTTAAATTTTTATACTCGTATTTCAAATCCTGGTTCAAATTTATATTTCTTTCAAACAAAAGCTTTTATGTTCCAAAACATTGTTCCATTTGGTAACTGTTATAGCACCTGAAGAACTCAGAAGGAGTTGGAAAACATTTGTCTTAAGATATTTGTTAGTTTTTTTGTTTTCTTCACACCAGTTATTGGTTCTGTGCTTCATTAAATATGGTGTATACAAATATATCACAATATATGATTACAAAATAATATAAATGAGAGTTAATCATACAGGCAAACTTTGAAAATAAAAGTTTATCCATTTTTATAATATATGCAGATAAAATAGGGATCTGTTAGGGATAGGTATAGGGATCTTTTAGTACTCATGTGGGATCTAGATTGTCATAGAGAATTTGCCATGCACATGAAACTTTTACATGTTTGAAATTGATGCAAATTGTAGTTTGAAAATTTCAAGGGTTTTATGGAACCTAATATAGTCAGGATGTTGGGAGTTCTAATGACAGTGACTTCTTGTAGGTTGGCTAGAAAGCCCTCTTTTGAGGCATATACAGCCAAGGTAATGGTGTGCTACTTATTAGCTGTTTTGTATATATGTTCAGTCAGTCTTTTAGGTAAGGATTGCTTGTAGAACCAATATACTCAAGACTTTTCTGGAATCTGTTTCTGATAGGAACCTTGTATATACCTAGTATTCTGAGTGTTCACTTCATCCTGGTCATTGCAAAGTTGTCTATAAACAGTAGGGTTGTGTTTATCAGCCAACCTAGCACCTTTAATACTAGCAATTTCTTTATATAAAGGTAGCATAAGCTGATTGTAATTCACTACTATGCAGTTGTTGGAGTGCTCTACTTTCTTGTTATAGATCTGTCTTATTGGAGCAAGTGGTATAAGCATGTGCCAAACTTTTAATCAGATTTTTTTGGTATCTATGTTTTGTTGTGATGGACTCTGTGTTTCAGTTCTTTCAGTGTGTCAATAAAGTTGGTGCAGTGAGTCAGTTCTAAAGACTAAGTATATGAATCACCTGAAATAGCTGGAACAAATAATGGGGTATGATCTGATTTGTAATACAGTATATGTTTGTACAAATTCTGCTATTCTTGAAAAAGATGTTCAGATTTAAAAAAGGGACTTTGTGTTGCTTGACTAGTCTGATTTGAGGGATATACTATAGGAATTATTTGAGTTGTAAAAAGCTCTCGATGTCTGGTTTTGTTTACCAAATGATGAAATTATCTACATATCTTCTATTTTTAGCCTTTGGAAAACAAAACCAGACATCCAGAGTTTCTTACAACAACTCAACAATCTTTATGGTCTCTTCCTCAAACTAAACCAGTGAAGCAACACGAAGGCCCACTTTTTAGATCTGAACATCTTTTTCGAGAATAGCAGAATTTGTACAAGTTCTCTATATCTGTACAAGTTGTAAGTTAGTAAATATTTTACAGAAAATTTTTTCTAACTTAATGCTGTTAAAAAACTGTAACATGATAAATATTTATCAAATAAATTTTATAAAAAAGCAAATAGTAACCATACTTTTATATTTTATCCAAAACAAGTCTATATAGTTAAGTTAAAATAATAATTAATTTTTAAAAATGGGACATCTGTAAATCATCTGCTTCAAAGAGTTACAATTTAACGAGTAATTTGAGTACAGTAGACCCCCTATAACGTGTAGATACATTCCACGTTATATGAATTTCACATTGTAGGAATCCTTACATGAGCCAATTGCAGCCCGACACATATGCACTTTACGGACTACGGCTGTTTGAAAGGTTTTCTTCCATAAAATTAATCAATTATAGACTAATTTGACTCAAAATTTCCAAAACACGTATAATTTTTTGGGAATAATCCATATAAACTATTCTATAAACAAAAAATTGTAGGACTACTTACCGAGTGTGCACTGTTCGACGTCACCATTGCTTAAGCTTGTTTTCGTCGCGGAGCAGTGCTCCAAACAGCGGCCGCGTTTTCTGATAAGTTATTTTTCTGCGAAAACTTCGTTGAACTTTGGAGACATCATTAATATAAATAATTTTTATGGCCGTTGAATAAGAAATGTTTCTTTCACAAGAAATGTATAAAATTAGTGCTGTATTAGACTTACGGTACCTAATTTACATACTGTACAGACGATAGTAAACTCAACTTACTCGCCTAAACTCTCCGTAGCGTGGCGCTAGATGGCAGAAAGTATATATATAATTATAATAAAGTTACAATAAATTAAGTTAATATATAATTATATATACAATACCTAATTAATATATAATTATATGTACAGTACTTAATTTATATATAATTTATATATAATACTGTACAGACGATAGTAAACTCAATTTACCCACCTAAACTCTCCGTAGCGTGGCGCTGGATGGCGGAAAGTAGTTCGGCTGCTCATCCACTATTGGTCCAGATTCGACCAATCCTGTTGTGACACGAGTCGGTGACGACGTTTTACGAATCCCTTTTAGCGTCTTCATACGAATACTGTCGCAATTTTTTCGCCATGTTATAGGAATCTCCGTTATAGGAACCCAAATTATAGGGGATCTACTGTATTTATTTGAATTTATATATTTGAATTTGTATATTTTTCTAATAACATATATAGAAATTGAAAAGAAATTAGAGTATATTAACTAACAAACCATATGAATTTGAAATAACAAAGTGACTGTAAACTTATTCCTTTAAATATTAAATGATCCCTTTTAGTTTTAAAATTAGCTATTTCAATAGAATTTCAATAGATATAATTACAGATATATAAGAGTACACAAAATATTTTTAGTCAGGTGTAGAAATTCCAGAGAGAATCAGCCTCTTTGGCATACTGCCAAGATTGATCTTGTGCATTAGACTTATTGATGTTTTCCAGTGTTAGGAACTCTGTTTTTTAGCATCAAAGATATGTACAGGAGCAATGAAAATTTACTGAAAACAGTCAAGGAAAAAAATAATAATTAAATTGCATTTGTTTTTCATTAGAAAAAGAAATATCAGATTTATTCTAGAATGGACTAATTTAATTGGCTTAAGTATTAAAATGAATTGATTTTATGATTATTTAATAAAGATTGTTATCACAGTTATTTTACCAATATTCTGTTTTTTGATCACCTGGTCTGACACTCCATGCAACAACAGCAGAAGCCGAACGACTAAAAAGGCAATATCCGGAAAATGAGAAACTGATTGCCAACATCCCCAGCCGTTTTTTCGAAGTCATATATCCAGTTCAAGTCAGGCACCATCAGAAACTTGGAATTTCCACCCGAGATGCCACAGCTAACAAAGTAATGCTTATAAAATATTTTCTAATTTGGAATCATTCTTTCTATAACTACAGATTATATAATTTAAATTATTTTAATTTTATTTCAGAAAACATTTAAATTTGAAAATTTTATATTAAATCTTACAATGACTTAAGAAGTTGGATTTAAAAATTCATATTTTTTTGCTTTAAATAATAAAACTGCTATATGAATGAGTCAAACTTTATTTAATAAATAACATTTGATGTTTTCAAATAGCTATTTTATTATATAAAGTAAAAAAGATGTTCAAAAATTTCTTTATAATAACTGAAATGAAAATTATAATAGAAATCATTTGAATTTTAATACTCTTGTTATTAAAGTGTATTTAGAAAATTGCTTATACATTTGAATTAGCATTTAATATATTTAACCTGGGATATATTGATTATCTAGTTGCTTAAATAACTAACTATTCACAGTAAATTCAATTTAAATATAAAGTTTTTTTTTCTTGCAGAAACAATATAAATGTTTTAAATAAAAATAATCATGTAGGATTGTATTTTAAATTGTTTCCAATAATGCTAATTATTTATTTGAAATATGTATATATCAATTTTTTAGACTGGGAAACATTTTCATCAAACGTCATTACTTATCAAAGCCTTCAACTATAAATTCCGTTTAGAATTGGAATTAAATACGTAAGTAATTTTGTTTTATATCAAATCTTATTATTTCCTTAGTTAAATTTTAATTGAGAATAAATCTGAAGATATACTTTGTTGTTCTGTGTTTCCACTTTGCACTTTACCTGCTACAAATTCATGCATTTTTAATGTGTTCTAATTTATCGAATTGAAAAGTCATATATTTAAAGATACAATCAATTAGTTTTACTTTCTTTACTTTTTATCTGATTATTATAGTTTGATGACAAAACTCATGAGATCAAATTTTGCATACAGAACAGAAAATTCAGACTGATCATTTGTTTAAACAAACTGAAAATAAGATTTCCAAGGAAATAATTTATAGATTTGTGATGATAGCTTTTTTTATTATTTTTAAAATTTTGTTAATTTGCTCTTAAGATTCTTGTTAAAAATCTTTATTTTTCTATTTGTGAATAAAGTACAGTAATTCTAAAATAATTCTTCGTTATGAATACAAAATAAGTCAGATTTGGAAAGAATGTCATACAATAATACTACAATTTAAACTGTTACAAGAAATCATTTTTTAGTTATTATTATTATTATTATTTTGCCTCATTATACTTTCCTGGCTGTTATACATATATAACAAGGGAAAGTATTGGAATCATGCCAAATTTGACCCTCTGAGCTCTTTTTGCAAATTTCCACATTTTGAGACCTCTTGAGACCCAAAAAAATAAAGAAAAAACAGTAAAAAATTCTGTCTGTATGGATTGATGTCTATTTCATTTAATACCTCAGGATGGGGTAAAGATTAAGAAATAAAATTTGGCATGGAAGCTTGTGTGTAAGGAGCATTGATGCTATTAAATTTTGGTGGTAAAAGGTCGAAGGTGGCGAGATAGTGTGTGTTCACATGCCATAACTTGAGTAGGATAGGACTTGATGAAGATTTTACTTGTTATCATTTACAATTTTTTTTATTTTATTAAAACTCATTGCTTTCCTCAAAATGAAGCATTTTGCTATTTTATAATAATTACTAATATAAAAATTTTTTAAACAAAATCTGATAACAGGTGGCATCACAGAAACTTTTAATTTTGTTCTAATAGGCCTATGTCTTAGTGTTTTTCGTCAGAAACATTGCGCAATTCGTTGCTTAAACATTTATCCAACTTTTCCCAAAGCTTCTTTCTTCAATTGATTCCTATTCCTTAAANAACAGTTATTTTTAAAATAAAATCTCATAATAGCTGGGAAAGTTATAAAACTCGTAGTTAGATTTTTCTGATAGAAGATTCATTAGCATTTATGTAAAATACTTGTGTTAATTCAAAACTTTTTTAAATGCTGACAGTTAAGTGATGTTTTCAAATAACATCTAAAACAATACCATAATTATTAAAATTATTTACCAGCCGTTTTATTTAGTGAAAATAAGTAATGTTTCTGCTTATATTTTAATAATAATAATTTTTGAAATCTGTTTAGGGGCTGTTCATAAATTGTCTGCATTTTTCTTGAATGTTTTACTCCTCTTCTCCCCATTGTCCCAGTTTGTTCAAGTTTCTGTAACTCTTCTGTTCAACAAATCTCAACCCCTCATAAACCTCTATCACTTTAAGAATAATAAAATGCATAAATTGTATAAACTTTAAAGAAATAAAATGACTGTTCATTGAAGTTCAACCCTTCTCCCCTTATCCGAGTTTGTTAGACTTGTCTTTCCACACTGAGAGAGAGGGAGCGGTTGTCAATGGACAACCCCTTACATCAATCATGGTTTTAAACTGGTTTTATGTAAATGAGTTTCACTTTAAGATTTTCACTTTTTATCTAGGGTTTATTATTTCTAAATAGGTATTTAGGTATTTTAGTATTATAATTTAATGCAGCCATTTTAAAATTGACTATTCAGTGATACTGATATAAATTAAAGATGGGAATGTATTTGCTTTTATTTTCACTTAAGGCATTTTCGTATCAATGTAATTAATAGAAACTGTACATTTTTTTATTAATATTCTAACGTTGACAAAAAGTAAGATATGATCTGAACAATAAAAAACACATATTACTGAAATAAGTGAATTTTCAATGTATAATAAATTCATTTCACTTGGCTAATCATCAGAAGTATAAATTCTTTCTAAAGTAACAAAAACACTGTATATAATGTTTGTACTTTGGAAAGAATCTCTGCTCTGAAAATAATCTAAAAAGATTTGAAAACACTTGGATTTTAAATGTTTAATAATAAGAAATTAACTTTATTGAAGTGAATTTATTATTACATTTTTGTTATTAATAGATCTAGGACTCATATGATGTCTCCCTTTGAAAGTTGACTAAGATTTTTTTATTAAACCAATATGTACATTTCACATAAACATTAAATGAGTCTTTGATGTATTATATGTAATAATGTGAATTACACTACAGCTAAGAATTGTAACTCCCAAGGATTAATATAAGTAAAGTAAAAATATTAAAGAAAGATGATGATAATTTTAAAAGAAAATTAAAAGAACATGTTGAAATTTAAAAATTAAAAAGTAAAATACATGTATTAATGAAAATGAAGGAATAAAAATTACACGAAATATGGTCAACAATTTTGAACACTAGGTGATGCATAACATATAAATCAAATGTTAAATAAAATTTTAAAAATACAAGTATACATAGTATGATGATAAAGTATTTTTAAAAAGTTATAGAAAGTTAAATTGTGTAATACAAATTATTTAAATTTAAAATGTATTATAAATATGAATGTCACTTATAATTTTAATAGCTGTTTAAAAGTTTAATGTATATTGAAAGAATATTATGATTTGTATGGTAATTTTGAGGTAAAGGTAAAATAGTTTAACAGAAAAAACCAACTGATGAAGGGTATTGATGAATCCGAAATGTACATATTGGTTTAATAAAAAATCTTAGTCAACTTTCAAATTAAAAAAATGATCTGATAAGTTCTTTGATGTAAAAGAACATCAGTAGCTATTAGGAATATTTAATAATAAAACAGGACAAAAACCAATAATAATAAAATGTTTGTTGTTAAATCTAATTCATAATATAATACTCATAAAACCTTTAAGTGACCAGTAAAATATTTAATTGAAAAAACAAACGTTTTTGATCGTATTTTTCGGTTGAAAATGTTTTGTTTTTTCAATTAAATATTTTACTGGTCACTTAAAGGTTTTCGTGAGTCTATTATATATTGTACCAGTACCTGTTAATGAGTGTTTAACCTAATTCATAATAGCAATTTTAATGTATTAACAAAGAACTATTCTTAACACACAAATATTTCATTTATATACCATTACTATCTAATATAATTCTGTTTTCAGTTTGAGATGATTCAGAAATCTAATAAACAGATCAATTTAAAATAAACATGTTTTAAAATAGGTCAAGACATTGTGAGTTACTTGATGTGCTAAACAATAACAAATTTTTTTACTTATCTGTGTATAATGTATTAATAACTTAATAAAATAAAAATACCCAAAGTGAACACAATTTATAAGATCTGATTTTGAATGATTTTAAAATACAATCTTACAGTGTTATAGCATAATAAGTCTTATGTGTAATAAGATTTACATATTCTAAATATTATAAATCTAAACTTGTAAAAAATAATAATAGCTCATTTGATCTGGTTTTACAAAGTTTAAAGTGTGTTCACTTTGTGTATTGTTTTATTTTGTTTAATGTTCAGACAATTATTACAGTCATTTACTTCTTTTACTGATAGTGCAGATTAATTTTAGAAACTAATATCAATTGTGTGTGTGAAGAATTATTATAAAATACAACAGGGAGGAGAACATTGCAAAATGCCAGGGGGTTAAACTATGTCCAAAAATATAACATAAAGCAATATCAATTGTCATTTTAAATTTTAAAACACTTTCAGATTTTAAATTAGCTCTGTTAATTATTTAGTATTATGAATTTGATAGAAAAGTCTGTAATATTCTAAATCTACCATTGATAAAATTTTTTTGAAATATTTTAACTCTGAATTCCTCACAATTATCATGTACAGTACAGTACATTCTCAATTTGAGGACAGGTATTAATGAACTGGTAATAAAAAAATAACAACAAAGTACAAAAAATGATAATTTTAATTTAAATGGTATTATTTATGGTTTCTCATTTTAATAATTTTGATCATGTAACAAAACGATTTTTTCCAGTTTATTAATATTTTGTAAAGTTTAGGAAATTTATTAAGGGATAAATGTATACTTTTATATGTAGATTATGTGATTTGTTAATTAATAATAAATAATGACATTTTTCTTTTTTTCAAAGCCATGTAAGTTTATGATCATGGATTAATAACAGGATAATCTATTTTAAAAATAAAATATTTTATTAAATTAATTAATTTTAATAATTCAGCAATTATAAAAAATATTTAACTATTAATTAGAAAAAATAACTATTAAAAAAGCTGGAGAAGCAATAGCATATATACATAGTAAGTTAAATGTTTTATTTTGACAATGTGCCATACTGTAAGGGAGGTAAGATCAGGAACTTTGTACAAAGTTGGACAGGGAAAGTCATGGAATTTAAAAAGAATTTGAGTAGAAAGTCTGAATATATGCTGCAAGTGAATGTGAGTAAAACTAAAGTGATAGTGTTTGAACATAATGGTAAGCAAATAGATTGCACGAGTGAGCTAGATGGTGAACAATTGGAACAAGTGAATGAGGTTGTATATTTGGAAATCATGATTGATAAGAATGGAAGGATAGACTGTGAAATCACCAGAAGAGTGAATGCTGGATCTCATGTGGTGGATTCAATGAGTAGATTTGCAAGAGATTAAAGGATGTTCAAAGAGGCACAAATGGCTGTGTATGGGAGTGTTGTGGTTCCTGTGTCCATGTATGGTAGTGAACCTTGAGTACTGCAGAAGAGTACAGGCAGAAGAGAACATTACTGCTTATGTAATAAGGTATTTGAGAGAAGTGTGTGGCATAACAAGGAGAAACTATGTAAACAAGTGCTGGAAGAGTGTAGGATGAAAGAGAGAATGTGTTGAAAAGGTGGAGAAATTGGTCCTACGATGGTTTGGCCATGTTAAGAGAATGAAAGGAGAGAAACTATTGAAGAGAGTATAAATGGGGAAGGCCAAGAAAGTCTTGGTTGGAATGAGTGGATGAGTGTCTGAAATAATATATATGGAGTTGAATCAGAAAGCAAATGTGAGGAAGTGTAGAAGATGCATGAGTGTGTCTGAAACAAAGGAGGTGTCTGGACAGGAAGGTATGGAGAAAGTTGCTGAATGGATAGTTTGTAAGACTGTAGTCTTCTTTTGCTTGCTACTCATCTTTTTTGGATTGAGTGTGAATGTATGTATGTAGAATTTTTCTTGTTGCAAATTGAATTTTTATGGATGTGTATGTTTATAAATCTTTGTATGATAAATAATTATATAATTAATTTTAGTCAATACATCCAGTTTTTGGAGTTTATTAAAAATTATATCATTAAAATGAAAAATTGTAAAATTTAATAAAAAGTAAAATATATCTGGATACGAGTCCAATTTTGCTTGCCATGTCCAATCACCACTAAAGAAAGGTTCTAAATAAAGGTTGTCTCTGCAATAGAAATAGTTGTTCGTGGTGATTGGACATGGCAAGCAAAATTGGACTCGTATCCAGATGTATTTTACTTTTTATTAAATTTTAATTCTGGCTGCCCTTTTTTACAAAGAAATACAATTGATAAGGTAAATACAGGCTAAAGCTATCTCAGAGCCAACCTTTCATTCTCCATTGTATATCCATAGGGATTTTCTTTGTCAACACTAAGTTGAGCCACATTGAGCTTACTTCCTCTTACACACATCCACACTCTTTTACAGTCCTTCCAAGAATGATGAAAAAACCTATCCCCATTCATCGTGTGAATCCTACCTCCTTTTAATTGGTCCATAGGCTGTCCACACCCTACAGCCACAGGGTAAGGGATGCCTAAAGTATGATAATGGTCACTAGACCACAAGGGATTAAATTAACTCTTGCCAAACAAAGATAGTAGGTTTATTAGATACAGAGAGTAATAGCTTAAACCACTATTCATGTCATTTTGATTCTTCTTTCATGCAATACAATCCCTGGCNTTAACTATGAAAGTAATTGTTTATCTTTCAGACATTTACTTGCTCCAAATTTAATTCAAAAACATTTCCTACCTGAAGGTGCTCAACAGATTTCCACCCAGGTAAAGTTTTTTTTTGAAAACTAATGTGTTTTATTCCAGGAAGTTTGTTTTTTTGAATGACTTACAAGCAAAGAGTCAGATGCTTGGTTTCTAATTTAAACAAAACTTGGTGAGCAAGTAGCCCTTAACACAAACAGCTTTTTGTCCAAATAATAGGACCCATTTCTCAAGCATTGCCAAAAAATAGACCTGTGAAAATTTTGTGTTTAGCTTATAAGGCTTTGGAAGTTTCACGTTTCCTCAGAGCAGCAATAGTCGAGTGTAAAGAATGCAAGCCACTGGAGTGGCATGATGTAAGTTTGAAACTTTGTAATTTTAATTGTTTTGTTTTTGTGTGTTTGTAAACTAATTATTTTGTTATTTTCTCTTATCATTAGAATTACTATTATTAAGTACAAATAACAAAATAATAACAATAATATCCAGAAAATAATATACTTTACTAAATGAAAACAACAGTCATCATCCAGTTGAAAAGCAGTCTAACATATATATGAAAATTTGAACATTATACAAAATGGAATAATTATTTCATTGGTGGAAAGTGCTGACATGAACAATGACATCAAATAGATGTTACAAAAATTTTTTTAAAGTTAAGATTTAAGTTATAGATGTACAGTACAGTACATACTTAAATGATGGACCTGCACAGATCTTCATGCTTTAGAGAACATCTCAGCATCTCTGTAATTTATTGCAGTATTCTGAATAGTAGCTTTTAAATTTTGAGTTTCTTTAGATGTTTCAGAATGGTGCAATCACTAATTGGGTGTATGAGACTGGCGAAGAAAAAAGAGAGAAAGAATCATTCATTCTCAACAATATATTTGATTTCTATTGTATCATTTAAAGGCACAAATATAAGATCAGAATAAGCCATTAATTAATTGCTATGCCAACATATCATGAAATTTTGTCTATCACTATAGGCCTTGGACTTACAGATTGACTTGTAGCTATCTTTATTGTAACTCTAAAAATACTGTCAGTTATGCTTTTTACTCGACTGAATGCAACATAGGTAAGACCGATAGCTATCTTTTTTTTACCTATATCTATTTTGATTTTTAGAAGAGTTAATCCCTATGATTTATGTATAGTCATCAAGTATGCTAAGGTAAAGGGAAACTGTCTATGAGATCACACTATACTGCCATCGTTTGAAGAGCGTGTTATGAAACAGATTACCATAGATGAAAGGTTCCTGATAGCTATCAAATTCCACCAAAATAAACAGAGGAAGAGCTGGAGGGCGAGCATTAGGAGCATATAATGTAACGTATAGTTCCTAGTGAACCATTGATGAGACCTCCTTGCACCCATAAGTTGACTCTCAGCGTGATTCTGGCATTAACTGAGAGATTAAAATACTTGGAGAGACCAAGAGCTGAGTCATCTTTGGACAAAGGCAGGACAATATCTGGAGTGTTTTCAGATGCTATATAAGCAATAGGGCACCCAGTTGACTGCAAGTAGTCTTTGTTGCTTTGTTTAACTTGCTCGTTTGTTGGATATAGCTCTACTGCCATTTGGAACTGATCGTTCATCTCTGGATAAATAGGCTTGATAAATAGACTCTGCCACGTAGGACATAGCCTTAGTCAACTCATTTTGACCTCTAATACTGAAGAAAAATGCGACCTTCATTTTGACCCCTATCTCCAGTTCTACAAAAATGGATCATTTTTTGAGAGTTGAAATTTTAATCAGTTCATCCTTGAGTGATGATGAGTTGTCCAAGAATGCATGAAGTCAAGTGTTAGTTGTCGCTCAGCTTCTCCTTGCTCCGACAATTGGGATTGGACTATTCTGAAACATCTGAAGAAACTCAAAATTGAAAAGCTACTATTCAAAACACTGCAATAAAGTATAGAGATGCTGAGATGTTCTCTAAAACAGCAGTCAGCAACTAGTGGTCCATGGACCATTGATGGTCTGTGAGAAAATTTGGGTGGTCCATGGAGAAATTTGGACATTGATCAACTGAAGGTTACGCAAAGTATTATGAAAGAAATGCAAAATACTTAGTTGCTTTTTTTATTCATTGGGGCTTTTTTTATTTGAATCTAAAACCAAATATGAAGTGACTGTTGTTAGTAAATAATGAACAATAAACAATACTGTAAGTGTGATTGTTGTCCTTCATAAAAAGCGCTAAGAATTCATAAACTTATTTCAAACAAAAAGCAATGTACTTGCATTAATTTGTTATAATTAAACAAGAGAGTTTCATATTAATATAGTAAAATTGAACTTTTATGATGATTATTCTACAGATTTTGTATTATTTAAAAATATTCATGACAATGGTCCACAGGATTCAAAATTATGAGTTTAGTGGTCCATGAGGTCAGAAAGGCCTCACTGTTCTAAAACATGGAGTTCCATGCAGGTCTATCATTTAAGTACATCTATAATTTAAAACTTATTAGAAAATTTTTTTATAAAGTGATCTATTTCATGACATTGTTTAAGTCAGCACTTTCCACCAATGAAATAGTTATTCCATTTTGTTTAAAGAAGTAATTTTCAAATTTTCATATGTATGTTAGACTGCTTTTCAACCAGATGACAATTTAAAATTGTCAAAATCAGTTGTTGATTTTTTTATGAAGTATATTATTTTTTGGATATTACTGGTGTTATTTTGTCATTTGTACTTATTAATAGTAATTCTAATGATAAGGGAAAATAATAAAATAATTATGTTATACATACACCAAAAAAACAATTAAAATTGCAAAGTTTCAAACCTACATCATGCCACTCCGGTAGCTGGCATTCTGTACACTCAGCTATTGCTGCTCCGAGGAAACGTGAAACTTCCAAAGCCTTATAAGCTGAACACTAAATTTTCAGAGGCCTAGTTTTTGGCAATGCTTGGTTTTATTATTTGGACAAAAGAGCTGTTTGTGTTAAGGGCTACTTGCTCACGAAGTTTTGTTTGAATTAGAGACTTGAGCCTCTGTCTCTCTCTTTATTAGTAATATTATTTGTCATTATATTTTTTTAATAAAACAAACTTTTAGTTGCTAATGCCCGACTGCCAGATTATTTATTGGACTGTAATAAATAATCTATTCATTTGACATTAGTAATTGAATTAGGTTGATGTATATGTTATAAATTATTGTTGTTTTTATTATATATGTGGTGGAATCAAAAAGAAATTATTTGATCTATAAAGATTGTAATATAATAAAATGCACACCATACATAATTTTCCAGCAAGGGGAGTTTGTGGAACAAATGTTTTTGGTTTATTTTACAAATATGCTCAGAATCCTTAGCTAATGTGTGGTGATTGTTCTTTGATAATCCCACAGATTAATTATACATAAAAAATGCATAGGCATATGGAATTCTTATAGGTCACTTTATATGTATTTTTATTTTAAATTTTATTTTTATCATTTATATACTCAGTTTTTCATTAATAAGTTATATACTATTTGAAATATATGTTTATATATACTGTACATAATTACAATATTAAAAAAAAATTTATAAACAATGTCATTGAATATTTGAAACATTTCAATTTGAAATTTTGAATTGTGTAATTTGAAACCTGAAGCAGTTTTATAAAATAAACTGAAAATGTTTGTTCCACAAACTCCACTTGTTGGAAAATTATGTATGGTGCACATTTTATTACATGTTATCTATTCCAGTTTTAATTTTGGACTTAAGATTCTGGAATGAATTATGCATGTTAATTAACCCCTTAATGACATTGACATTTTTTATATTAATTTAATTAAACGTAAAAAATACTTAAAACTGAAAAAAAACGAAAGAAATGCATTTATTTTGAAGAAAAAATTTGGAAGTTTAAGTTCCTTTGTCTCGCCTTTCTGCGAAATTTAACACCTACAGTCATTGTTTACACAGCTGGATGACCTTGAGAACAGCTGGAGTTGGATTTCCCGGGGCATTCTCATAGACATCTCAGGAGGACAAGGGTTTAAAGTAGGGTGACTACTAACTAGGCCTATATTTTAAAATATTTTTAAAAAGTTAAAAATTTTATTGCGATTTCCGACCCCCCCTAATTAATTAAATTTNCAGATGTAAATATATTAATTTTAAAAATTTAAAAACTATTGGAGGTCGTTTTTGGCATCAGAAAGCAGCTTTAAATAACTTTACCGAAGTCAAATCCGTGCACTACAACTTTAGAATGATTAATTAAATTTGATAAAAAACTTTCATTAAAAAACAATTAAGCCTTAATTGAGCCTTATCAAAGGCTAATTAAAATCGCAATAAAAATTTTTTGTTCAGGCAAAAATTTTTGAAAAAATTTGGGGACTTAAAAAACATTCCAAAAATTCAAAAAAAAAAAAATTTTCAAAACTCCCCTTAAGGACTGCGTTTTATGTAACGCTATGTAACTTGCCCAAGATATCTCGGGTTATGGGCTAATTAAATTAAATTAAGCGAGGTTCCACTGTACTTGTACTTGTGAACAACTTCTATTATACAGCTTTGTATAAATCAATTTTTATTTTTAGAATGTTTTCCTCCATTTTGGAATATCATTATTTTAGATTTATCAGTATTAACAGAAAGTTTTAACTCCTGTAATGCATATCCCAAAAAATCAATCATTCTCTGCAGATCTATAAGTGAGTCTGCCATAACAACCAAATCATCTGCATATGTCAAAATTTTCACCTCCATTCCCAGAAGATCAATGTCCACTAATTTGGAGTAACTAAATTTTCTGACAAGTAGATTAAATATAAATTGAACAATATTGGGCTCAATACACAATTTTGTTTCACTCCTTTAAACATGAAATAAAGATCACAGGTACCCCTTAACCAGACACACATGCCTCTGTATTAATATATAACTGAATCAAGCAATTTACAAATTTATAACTTAAACCAATTTTCAAAAGATCTTTCCACCAAAGGTCTCTATCTAAAGAGTCAAATGCCGATGTCAAGTCAAAGAAAAAATGTAAAGTTTACCTTATTCCTTTTTTAAAGATTTTTGAATTAAAGCATATAGAACAAAAGTATTATCCAATGTTGAGAAACCAGACTGGAAGCCAACCTGGAAATCCAAAAGTACCTCATACATATTCAACCAAGTTACCAATTGCATAGTTTTTTGTAAAATGTTAATTTTACAAAAACTTTAGAAATTGTCAGTAGTAACAATATTGCTCTACAATTATCAGGTAAATCTTTAAGCCCCTTCTTAAATATAGGACTAATTTTACATATACAGGTAACCCCCATATAACACAGCACTTCTATACCACGGATTTACTCTAACACGATTTGAGAATTGGGAACACCCCTTATAACACAGTGCTTTTATAGCACGGGTTCACTCTAACACTGTTCAGGAATTGGGTAAAACCCTTGTAAAACATGAAATGTAATAAAGGGTGCGTTCTTTTATACCTCCGCGCAAGCATTCTAATTGTTTTCATGGCTACTTTGAATGCTCTTTCAACAAATAATCCATTTAATGGTTAAATCTTACAATTGGGACCCTTCTTTTGACTATAAAAGCTTGTTTTAGAATTATAGATTCCTCCATCACAATACTATGGATAGTGCGGGCACTGCCATTTTTCTTTCATTCCTAAATGCCTACAAACAGCAGCGCACTCCCGTTGCAGAGCGACCGCTATTAACGAATGCACCAAAAACTTACCAGTTGATGATGCTCATGCTGAGATGATCATATAGGATGAATAATCCTCTGGTAAAATATTTACTTAAATAATAAATAAGTATTTTACCTATGAAAAAATGAATAATAAATCCAATTTAAATAAGGATTTAACAGTATGTTTTTTTTTAATTTTTTAACCTCCCTTTTCACACTAGTTTTTGTTTCATATAACATGGCAATTTTTTAGAACGTAACTCCCGTGTTATACAGGGGTTACCTGCACACAATTTAATGGAATCTTTCCTAATTGATATACATTATTAAACAAACCTACCATATATCTAATCAAGTCCAGGAAGTACTTATTTATATATAGTTCTATCAGTATACCATTAATACCCAGAGCAGTACCATTTTTCATAGTGACTAAAACCTTTTCATTTCCTGTTCTCTTATCATATATCCAGCACATTACCTGCCAATTCACACACCAGTTATACACAGAAATATTTGGTAAATATTTACTAGAGTGAAATTTTCTTGAAAAATAAGCCACCCAATCAAGATCTGGAAACTCTTTATATTTAGTTTTAACAAAAAACTTAATGAATCACCAGAACTGTTTACTGTCACCAGATGTCAAACTTTTATTAATTCTCTGTAAAAAAAGCTTTTTCTTTGCTCTACATAAATTGCGAGTCACATTACATTTTTTAACAAAATTACTCATAGCTACACTATTCCCAATCTTTGCACGTCTCATCCTATTTAAAGCCTGATTTCTTCTAGCAATACTCAACCTACAATCTGTATTAAACCACAAAAAATTGGAAGTTCCAACTGGCCTTTGGCACCAACCTGAAAATGAGGATTTAATTAAATAACCTAAGACCTCAAATTTTAACACCAGATGACTCTGAATCGCACAGAATAGTTTATTATATTTATGATTCACTATCTCACTACTTTCTTTTCTCCAAAAAATTCTCTTTCTATTATCCATAGGCCTATCAAATGGTTTTTATATTTTCTTTTTAAGTCATCAAATTAAAACTACACTAATTGGAAAATGATTACTATATAGTTTATCTAATACAGAAAAACTTTTAGCAATAGATAACTGAGTCAGCTTAACCAAGGCTAAATCAATTACAAAACATCCTATTTCACCCACATAAGTAACCTTTAGACACAGATGAATTTCTACCATTTAAAATTACATATCCCGCATCTTCACAGAAATCCAGCATCAATCTTCTGCAATTATTTATTGATGTATCTTGTGATAGACTTGACATCCAACCCTGATCAAGATCCTCATTACAATCATAAATCCATTCCTGTAGCTTCACACCAATAAGAGCATTAAAATCACCAATTAAAAAAATCTATCTTATAACAGCAAACTAACCTAACTATTTCTGTCCAAATAGTATTCCATAGAACAGGTTTTATATACATAAAACAAAAAGAAATTATTGGATGCCCTATTGTTAGTTCCATAACAATCCAATGCCTATCTTTTTCCAAAATATTCACTTTTAAAGAATTGACTATCAATAACATCCAGCCACCAATAAAATGACCTCTATCAGTCTCTCGATAACATGGTTCCTGAATTACAGTAAAGTTATCCATATTATGGAAATCAGAAATTGCGGTCCTACCATCTCACTATGTCTCCATTAAGAAAATTATATCAAAAAGTACGCAAAAAATTCCAGAAAGAGTTAGATTTATTTACAATACCTTCACAATTCCATGAAAGTACAACATACCTACTCCCAGTCAAGTTGAAATTTGCTTTTCCATTTTCTTAGAAACTATATTATATTTATAAATTTTGTTATTAAATTTTACTGCATTCTTATTATTTAAATAAGTAATTGAAGTTCCCATTTTTTTTTCTCTAGCAAAATTATTAATTATTTTCTTTATATCTCTAGTTAAAAGAGGAAGGTCATCCATTATAAATATCTTGGACCCATTTAATTTAAATGCTGCTCTTTTAATCTTATATTTATTGTCATAGTCCAAAAAAACTACAATAAATCAACTTAATTGTATTATCCTGTTGACCCAATCTATAACATCACTCTAAACTGATGTGATCAACACTTAATTTATTTTGAAAAACGCCAACACTATAACTCTAACCTGTAAATTATCATTTTCCAACTCGGGTAATCCAGAAATTATGAAATTGGTGCACCTTAAAAAACACTCAAACCGCTCCTGACTTAACATAAACAGCCAATTTATTCTCCAGGTTTATTCCTTCAATCAACAAAACCTTACCCTTATTGTATGCAAATTTTTTCTCTAAATCCTCAAGTCTAGTTTCTAAATTAAAAATAGCTTCGTCCAAATTTTCCACCCAGGTGAAAATTCTATCTATTTTAGCTGTCATTCCTTCCAATTTAGTATTCTGCTTTAGATTTAGTTGAATTAATAATAATATCCTATTCTTAATATCCAATGTAAGTTCTCCCTGAAGTAACTCTAAAATCCTCATCTCTTCCAATGGGTCTGGGTGAAAAATCTTATACCTACTATCTGACTTACTGGTGAATAAGTCTTCCTTTTAGACATGATGAATTATACCAATAATCTTACCTGAAAAAATTAAGTTAATTAATTATAATACACCCAAAAGTGCCGACCAAAAATGCCTGAGTGACAATATTAAAAATTCTTTAAAGTACCTTCTAAAATAAAACTCCAATACTTGCTTACTCAGACACAGACTAATGTTTTTGTTCCTTTCCTCTGGATCTTCGTCAGGTCTGCAGGTATTTAGAATTGGAATGCTTTTGATTATTTTCACAAACATTGCTTTACAAACGTTGTGTTTTTAAAAATATGTTCGATTTCCTGTATACATTTAAAGTTTAAAATTTTTTGATGACATTGATATAATAACATAATAATCTTTGCAATAGAATAGAATTGCTATAAATACTTATAACACTGATTTATAGGAAATTGAACAATGTTATTATCATGGTACCATCAAAGATTATCCAGGTGCTCTGGCTGCTCTGAGAACCTGCAATGGAGTTAGGTGAATTAATTTTTAAAACATTTTAAAGTAAATGCAAACTTGAAATAAATCCAATTCTAATGTAGATTGAGAAAATAGTAATACTTTTTCTGATTAATAGTGGAATCATTCATGTAGAAAATGAAACATTTGTCATCCATCCATTTTATGGAGGTGATTTATCGGTATGTACATAAATGTTATTACATATTTTAATATTTGTAATGTTTGGATTATATATTTTCATCATTCAAATTTTTAGAGGAAACATCCACATGTATTATATAGGTATTTTACAGAAAATAAAGGAAAGCATACGTGTGGTAAGTTTTTAAATATTTTAACAAAAGTTTATTCTTCCTTTCTTATCGAATAATTTGGATAAATAGGAAATACTGGAATGCATGAATGGGGCTTCAAGCAGTTTAGGATACGTCCTATAAAATACAAAGTAAATAATTCATTTTTTTATATTTTTAAATTAATGATATTTATGTATTAAATGTGTATTATGTATTAAATTTAATTATGATAAGTCTGATTAATAAGTAATTACTTTTCTTAGCGTGATGTAAGTCAAGTATTCAAATACATTGAATTGGCACTTGTTATTGATCAAGCTATGGTAAATTGTTCTTTTATATATTTAACTGAATACATATATTATATTATCTTTATCACATTAGTAAACAAATTTATTTAACTTCTGTACAGAAATATTTAAAAAAAAGCAATTAAGTCATAAGTTTTTAACATAAATATAAATTCTGAAATATGAGAAATACAAAGAAAACATTTGACATGCTTTAATATTTTTGTATTATCTGTTTATTATTATTCTTATAATAGCAATATATTATTATTACTATCAATAATAATAATAGTTATATTTTTACAGTTCGATAATAGAAATGCTACCAGATCTGAAGTGGTAAATGATGCAATTCAGATAATAAATTGTGTTGATATGGTGAGATATAATTGCATATCTTATAAAATTAATAATGAAAAATATATGCATGGAATGATTAAAAAGTAACTTTACGAAGGTCATTGTTATATACAAAAGTTTTTATTATGAAAATAAAAACATATACAATTTATCTTCAAGCTGTTACTTCTCAACAAAATCATGCAGTCTGTTCATGCATTTATTTCAACATTTAATAAGCTTGTTTACTCTATTATCAAAAGTTGATATCCCTGCAGTTACAGCTACACTGCAATAGTAGGTTTTATGTCTTTGTCAGTAGCAAAATTGTGATCACATATATAACCTTCAAATATGTGTAAGAAGCTGACTTCCAGGGGCAAACAGTTATTTGTGCATCAGGAAAAGCCTAGGGATTGATCGTATGTGGAGGCAAAGATGATGCATGTCCTTACAAAACTGTTTATTTTTGACATAAAATAACTTACACTACGAACAAAATAGTCCACTTTGAAGATTGGGCGCTTGGGTGCAATGACCGTTGATTTTCTAGCTTCACTTGACTGTTGATGGTGACGGTGATGACGATGCTTTTGCGATGGTGATGGCGATGACGAAGCCCCAGGGCAGAAACGACTTAGGGGAGATGACATGCTTAGTTATGAGTTCTTGGACATAGGGATGAATCGGAACAATCCAGGGAGGATTCAACACAGACTAGGCAAAAATTGGCATTTCAAACTTGAGATTCGGGGTTTTTATAGGATGTTTTCCTCAAATCTTACCTTCTGATTGGTCCCATATCTTGTTCCTCGCTTTCCAATTGGTCTCCTTTTTATTTCTAGGTAAAACCCGAGACTTGTTTGGGTCACGAGAAAGGTTCAATTCATGGTGTTTGTCTGATACCTTTTTGTTGATTCTGACTGGAGTTTGACAAAACTATAATCTGTGCTCTGATAATTTAGCCTGTTGATTCTATTTCTGTCAATTTTTGGATTTTAATGATCACATGTGATGTTTTTCTAACCGTCTAATCCTTCAACTTTTAACCTAGATTGACTGTTTATGAGCGCTTGCGTCAGAGTTCTATCTTTCCTGGCTGACATTCCACTTGATCTATTATGTCGTTCATCTTTGTGTTTGTTTTAACAATTATAGTTTTCCCCTCTCTCCCTTACATAACAAACATGACCTTTAGTCTGACTTGACTATAGCACTTTTGCTTTTAATTAATTTGAAATTAAATTTTTGTTTTGACCTGTTCTAGAACCTCACATGTGGGAAAAACAAGTTGGCTAATTGAGAGTTGGTAAAGGCATCAGCTTACCATTTTGGGAATCTGGGTAAAAAACTAAAAATGTAGAAAATATGAAAATTGAAGAAATTATATCCAGACTATGGAAGGATGTTGATGGATTTTCAATCAAAATGTTTGCAGTAAATCCACAGTCTAGTATACAGTTTGGCATTGGCATTATTCTGAAAGACTGCTAGGACATGACATTGTCTGCATGAGTTGAGATGATCTGAGACAAAGTTAGACTTCAGCAAATGGAACCTCTTTGAACCATAAAAATTAAATAACTGCTTGAACTTTGGGCTACCACATTTTTAACTTTTTTGTCATTTGGAAAAATGCTTTCACAATTGTTCTGTGCAATATTATAATCATTCAATATTACAGATTTGGGTCATTAGCAACTATGTATATTGGGGTTAAACTTGACAGTGCTTTGGTTTCAAATAGGATTTTTTACAGTTATTTTTTGAATATTCCATGTATATTATTAAAGTTAATTTAAGTATATTAATTTACCAGTACTTAATTTTTTTATTTAAAATTCTTAAATTTCAGTTCATAATAATGAATGTATTGATGCATGATACAGGTTGGCACATACACTGATTTAAAATTTTTTTTATTCTATGGTCTAGAAATATGTAATTATGGTAATTTAAATTTCTCATTGAATAATAATAATACAGGGTGATTATAATTAAAGTTCCACTTTGAAATGGACATAAAATGAAAACTGCTGGATAGAATGTTATCAAACTTGGTAATAGTGTATAGGAAGTCATGGGATTTTATTTCCCGCAAAAAAAAAGTTCAAAAACTCACCACCAATGGGAAATGGCACTGTCTGCAATATTGTTAAATGTAATAAGACATGAAGACATCATTGAAAATGTTTTTAATTGGTTTTAAAACAAAACTGTTTGTGGAGTTATGCAAGATCACAATGGCTTATAACAGGAAGAAAATGATATTCTAAGAGCTGCTGTTGAGAACACAGTAATATGATGTAACTTGCTTATCAAAAATGGTGAACACTACATTGAACATGTACTGTAATGCATTTTAAAACCGATTAAAAACATTTTCAATGATGTCTTCATGTCTTATTTCATTTAACAATATTGCAGACAGTGCCATTTCCTGTTGGTGGTGAGTTTTTAAACTTTTTTTTTTTGTGGTAAATAATATCCCATGACATCCTGTACACTATTATCAAGTTTGATAACATTCTGATCAGTAGTTTTCATTTTATGGCTATTTCAAAGTGGAACTTTAATTATAATCACCCTGTATATTATGCAATAACTTTATAAAAGAAATTTTTCATTCATTATTTTAAAATAATTTTTTTTTTTCAAATTTTGTAGTTATAGTTTTTGTAAAATTTATGTCATATTACTGTTAAAATTTTAATATCAAAATTTACTGGAATGTGATTGCATTTAATTACTGTGATTTCATGCAGATAACTCACCTTATATGTTTGAAAGGGATGCAAGTTACATGCAGATTTTAAATTCCATCACAAGTTAAAAGAAAATTATGTTAATAGTTCAAATGAATATTAAAATCATTTATAGCTGACAAAATTCTAAAAATAATTGATGCTGTGTTATAGCACTAAAACAAGCAAAACTGGTGATAAAATTCTGTTTAAACAATTACAACATTTTGAAAAAAATTAAACACAAAGTATTTTTAATATTGATAATTAAGCACAATCAAGAAAACATTTAATATTCAGTAACCAACTTTAATTTGAAAATTGACAAATGTTTTTGATCTTACATGAGATCTGCATCAGGTCAACAATGATATTTGAAATTGGAATGTGCAGAACACAACTTTTCAAACATTTTTTTATTTAATTCAAGCAAAAACATAGATGTAAAATATTCACTATATACAGTGGTACCTTGACTTACGTGTGTCCCAACTTAAAGTTTTTTGAGATATGAGCCATCTCTCGGCCGATTTTTTGCTTTGAATTGAAAGCTAAAGTTTGGGTTATGAGCCATCTTCAGATACCCAACTGTTAATTGGTGCAACGAACCATAGATTAATAAAAAGAAGATGGAAGAGTTCTGTCACAGAATGAATTAAACTAATAAGTCAAAGGCACCACTGTATATAAAGAATTGGTAGCATTTTTAACATGTATAAAATTAAAACAAACATAAATATAAGACATAAAATATTAAAAAATAATAATAATTAATTCATGTTGGTATTTCCCGGTTTTTCATAAAAGCATTGCCAAGCATACAAGAGGCTTTTTCCCTCCTTAATGTTTTTTATTCAAAATATCATACTAATATTCTTTTAACCTTTTGTGTATGAAATGCTTAGTTGATCCAATGTACAGTACATCATATCCTTTGGAACCTGTTGTCCCTCATCAGAACACTGTACTGTATACATCCCTGGGCCCAGTGTTTATTGACCCTGTCTTTTCTGTTGCATAGTACTTTGTATAACATGTGAACTTGCTTGTAGGCTAACTTGGTACCTGTAAAGTCGCCACTTTCTTTGTACAAAGTATGTAAATTATGGTCATACTCTATCACAGTACACCTGGGTTTAGAGTTATATGTTTGACTGCTTTTGGAATTTCCTTGGTTACTGAAGTTTTTACATAGGGAGTGTCAGAGTAAGTGTGAGATAAATTACAAATCAGGTCTCTTCTATATCCATGCTTTTTAGTGTGACTGAAGGGTCAGCACCTCTTTGATGTCCTGTCAGGATGACACCACTGAGTCTTGATTGACATGGAAGCCGTGCTAATTAGGTCACGTGAACGATAGCGTAACGGAGCAATCAGATTCGGGATGGAAGGAGAGACCGCACACCGGAAGTGACTTCTACAGAGACAGGTTAATGTAACAACCATTTAATCGGCCATACAGGATATACTATATATTGATTTCAAATATGCGTGATTTTAGATACATTTGCTACAATTGATATTAGATATATATAATGGGCATTAAAGTGGACATAAAATTTCGGTTAAAGTTCCGTGGTTCTCTCTCGAGAGAGAGAGAGAGAGAACCACGGAACTCTCTCTCCACGTGGTTCTCTCTCTCTCTCAAGAGAGAGAGAGTTTACAGTAGTTGCACGTGGCAATAAATACCTTGTATGAAATCTTGATCTGTTGCAAGCCAGTTGGACAGAAAGGAAGACAGTTTTGGACGACAAGTCTTATTCCCACAGTACTGAGTTAACTAGATATTATGTGAGGAAGTATCCAAAGGCAAGGAGGTATTTAACGAGAGTATAGCTACGATGTGATGTTAGGAGATAATGATATAAACATATTGAAAGTCTGGATTTGGATCCTCACATCAGCTATGTCCTCCAAATGTTTTATCTCCTTTATAGTGTCTTTCCAGCTTGTCTTGTAAATGCATGGAGGCAGCAATTTTATATGGAGAACAGTCAGCTGAATTTATTGGAATAAAATAATGGTAAATAGCTGGGTTTGTAACAGATGTCAGTTTCTGTATGGCCCTTGCTGAAACAAATGTTAATATCTAAGAAGTGTGTGCTGGTATTACTTATCTGGTCTAACTTAAGGATTAGTCCATATGGGTTATTATTCATGCATTGTAAACAATGCATCTACTTCTGGCTCCATTCCCCAAAGACAAACAGGTCTTCAGCATTCTTCTTGTAGATAGCAATGTTCTATATGAATTCAAGTATGACTTTTTCTTCTAATAGATGCATGACTAACTTGCACAGATCACCTGAAAAGGTGTGATGTTATTAAATTAGAATAAAGAGATGTAACACATCATGTATGCGAGTTCTAAGATCTATTTTTTGTGAGCAGGTACATCAATTTTCCATAGTAACAGATCCCTAAGAACACAGAAGCATGATTGCAGCTTTACTGAAGGGTATAAGGCAGTGCTTCTTAACCTTCTGAAGTCATGGAAAACTTTTGAATATCAGAAAAATTTACAGAACAGCAAAATCATGAAGATCATAGAATAATAACAAAAATATGTATGAACATACCTTTTTATTAAAAATTATAGATTACAGAATACATTTCTGAAAAGTGAGAAAATTGTAGCTCTTTTCTTAAATGCAATTTTGAGACTGTTGCATTTAGTAATCTTCCTATAGACAGAACACATGGTCCTGTATATGCAACTGCTACATAAAGATACATTTTCAGTAGTAATCAATCCACTTGTCGGTATTAATGTAGGACCATCTGTTCAACTAGATGTGCAGAGTAACTGTGTTTCGCTTCGCTAAGTTCTTGATATATGCTAATTCTTTCTTTGTACCTTCTTAAGTGGAACAATGTGTGTAGGTTCATCAGATTAGAGCAGTAAGCACAGCTAGTTTACTTGTATATGCAAACAGATCATGGGATGTGGCCAGAATATAGATTGGGCTGTATCTGTTTTTTGGAATACCTTAGTTATCAGTTGTCCTTGGTGAATTGAGATGTGGATAACTAGGAAAGTGCATCAGCGGGGACTCTCTTGCTCCATTCTCAACAATAGTCTGTATGAATTGTTGTTCTACTTTAGTAGAAAGTCCTTTGTGTTTGGTTTTTGCCTCCAAACTATGAAGATGTTATCCACTTATTTCACATGTAATAAAATCTGGCTGTTGTAAGAAGGTAAGATCAAATGTTCCAATTATTGAATCACCAGTTCACACAACATTTCTGATAATGGGCTACCCATAAGTGTGTTTCATTTTTGATGTAAGTAGTATGTGAAGAAATAGGGTGACACATTAGATGTGATTGTTGGACATGTGTTCAGCAGAATTCTCAATGTTGCATATGAGGAAATCTTGTAGTTTGCAAAAGCAAGGTTCTGTGCAGATGGACAGAAATATACACACATAATCATTGATCGCCTCATTGTGGACAAAATTAAATCTCTGTATTTATATTGAAAAAGCACTTAATGTTTATAACAAGTAGACTTGTTGGATACAAACAAATGGTCATCAACCCACAAGAGGTGCTGAACAAATTGAAAAATCTTGTCATTTGAGAAGTTATTTTTCTAGCAGTTTATAATTTTGACTTTGTCTAGTTTTGATCATCTATTACTTTCCTAACTGTTATGTATAACAGAGGGAAAGTATGGCAATTGATCAAAAAATGATCCCTCCCAAATTTTTACATTTTTGGTCTCAGAACTTTGAAATGTCAAGAAATGCAAAAAAATTTGGAGTTTTCTGTGTGGGTGGCATGATTTTGTTCACCCTCTTTAAAGCTTTATAACTTCTGCATTTTGTCAAATTTCTGAAATTTTGCAGTTTGGTTCATGTATTAGGGGATTAATACTATTAAATTTTGATGGTTAGAGGTTGACTGGGTGGGGAGATAAAAAGGAATATGTGTCATATCTCAAGTGGGGTTGGACTTAATGACAATTTACTCATTATTAACATTTACAATTTTTTATAAAACCCATCCCTACCNTAGAAGTTATCTAGTATCAAAAACGTTCGATTCAGCATGACACACAGTCCTCAGAAAAACACCACACAAAAGTGACAGTGCTGCCAGCTAAAACACACACACGAACATAAAAAATATTGGAGTAGCCCAAGATATAGCCAAAGATTACAGTGCCACAGCACTACGAAAATTTAAATTTGCCAACTGGAATTCTTTCGGATAAACAACGTTTCGGATAACTGACTTTCGGATAAACGATGCTCTACTGTAGTCATGTATCACCTATTTAGTTGAAAATATCACATTTTCAACTAAATAGTTAGACATATTATCATTACTTTGTTAAATGAAATTACAAGTAACAAAAATAAATCAGTTTGTAATTCTTTAAAAATAAATTAAGCTTTATTTCAAAATGTTTTTGAAACATTTGCTATATCAATAGATTAGAACAAATCAAAAGTTGACATATGATTTTCTTAATTATAATGCAATGCAGATAGTTATTTTGACATTAAAAAATAATAAATATTTTAAATATAATAAAAAAAAAACAATAACTTAAAGACAAAAATAATACATATAAGTAAAACAAAAATAAAAATTTATTGTAAAATACAATTAAACTGAGAAATGGTCATGAAATACTGTTCAAAACCTCTTAGAGAACCTTAAATAAATCTCTTGTAAATTATTTTTAGAATGACTAGCGTTTTTCATCCCATGTCTGGATCTTTGTCAAGCCAACTGTTCTAGAATAGAACACTTGGAACATCATGTTCTGTTTATTGAATGTGTGTCAAGTTTTAAATTGATGCATGACGTCATTATCATAAAGTGCAGTACAAATTTTTCAGAGTATTTCAGATGGATAATTCTTTAGAATTTATTTTAAATGTATCAGATTGTGGTTTTAAAGTAATAGGACACTCATTTAGGATATGCCATGCATAGGACACTCGTTTTTCTTCTTTGAAATTAATACTTCTTCCCTGTTTTTCAGCTTTATATATTTCTAGTGCTTCCAGAGCTCTGATTTTTTTCTAATTGTTTGGCTCTCCTAATGATGTCAATGTTCTGTAGATCGGCCTGGATGTCATTGTCTGGGGCTCTAGAACAGTTGACCTGATGAAGAGCCAGACAGAGGATTGAAAATGTTAATTGCTTTAAAGATGATAATTTATTGGAGATTTATTTAAGGTTCTATAAGAGGTTTTGAACTATACTTCTACTCCAGTCTGAGGAATTGTGAGTAGGTTATTAAATACTATTAGTTACACTGATTCATTTGATTTTTTTAGATTTCAGGTTAATGATTACATTGATTTGAAGTTTCTTAGTCATAAATTAATTTATAGCAGCTTCAAATAAAAGATTTTATATATAAGGTTTTGCTTAAAAAAATATCCTGTTTTCAAACCTTATCATCATCATTTCAAACTTTTTTGTAACTTTGAAAGAGTTTTTAACATTGATGATGAAATTAAGCAGATGATGTTTCAGTGGTTTTTCTCATACAATAGAGAGCAGCTGAAGAACTTAAAATCACTGCTTCTAGTGAACTTTTGATTAGCAAGACATGAAGAATGTACTTTGGTCCTAAAGTTTCAATTTTCTTGACAGTTCTTTAAAAGCAAGATTATATATGACTAGAATTCTTCATTTTAAGTTATGAATTAATTGACTGGTGGAAAATTTATAATTGATGCAATCATTGATTCATTAATTTGAGTGTTGGAATAATTCATTGTAAAAACACTTACACGACCAATATCCAATTCGTGAAACACCAAACAATGGAGAAAAACAACACATTATCCTCAACTNTTTAAAAAAAAGCAATTAAGTCATAAGTTTTTAACATAAATATAAATTCTGAAATATGAGAAATACAAAGAAAACATTTGACATGCTTTAATATTTTTGTATTATCTGTTTATTATTATTCTTATAATAGCAATATATTATTATTACTATCAATAATAATAATAGTTATATTTTTACAGTTCGATAATAGAAATGCTACCAGATCTGAAGTGGTAAATGATGCAATTCAGATAATAAATTGTGTTGATATGGTGAGATATAATTGCATATCTTATAAAATTAATAATGAAAAATATATGCATGGAATGATTAAAAAGTAACTTTACGAAGGTCATTGTTATATACAAAAGTTTTTATTATGAAAATAAAAACATATACAATTTATCTTCAAGCTGTTACTTCTCAACAAAATCATGCAGTCTGTTCATGCATTTATTTCAACATTTAATAAGCTTGTTTACTCTATTATCAAAAGTTGATATCCCTGCAGTTACAGCTACACTGCAATAGTAGGTTTTATGTCTTTGTCAGTAGCAAAATTGTGATCACATATATAACCTTCAAATATGTGTAAGAAGCTGACTTCCAGGGGCAAACAGTTATTTGTGCATCAGGAAAAGCCTAGGGATTGATCGTATGTGGAGGCAAAGATGATGCATGTCCTTACAAAACTGTTTATTTTTGACATAAAATAACTTACACTACGAACAAAATAGTCCACTTTGAAGATTGGGCGCTTGGGTGCAATGACCGTTGATTTTCTAGCTTCACTTGACTGTTGATGGTGACGGTGATGACGATGCTTTTGCGATGGTGATGGCGATGACGAAGCCCCAGGGCAGAAACGACTTAGGGGAGATGACATGCTTAGTTATGAGTTCTTGGACATAGGGATGAATCGGAACAATCCAGGGAGGATTCAACACAGACTAGGCAAAAATCGGCATTTCAAACTTGAGATTCGGGGTTTTTATAGGATGTTTTCCTCAAATCTTACTTTCTGATTGGTCCCATATCTTGTTCCTCGCTTTCCAATTGGTCTCCTTTTTATTTCTAGGTAAAACCCGAGACTTGTTTGGGTCACGAGAAAGGTTCAATTCATGGTGTTTGTCTGATACCTTTTTGTTGATTCTGACTGGAGTTTGACAAAACTATAATCTGTGCTCTGATAATTTAGCCTGTTGATTCTATTTCTGTCAATTTTTGGATTTTAATGATCACATGTGATGTTTTTCTAACCGTCTAATCCTTCAACTTTTAACCTAGATTGACTGTTTATGAGCGCTTGCGTCAGAGTTCTATCTTTCCTGGCTGACATTCCACTTGATCTATTATGTCGTTCATCTTTGTGTTTGTTTTAACAATTATAGTTTTCCCCTCTCTCCCTTACATAACAAACATGACCTTTAGTCTGACTTGACTATAGCACTTTTGCTTTTAATTAATTTGAAATTAAATTTTTGTTTTGACCTGTTCTAGAACCTCACATGTGGGAAAAACAAGTTGGCTAGTTGAGAGTTGGTAAAGGCATCAGCTTACCATTTTGGGAATCTGGGTAAAAAACTAAAAATGTAGAAAATATGAAAATTGAAGAAATTATATCCAGACTATGGAAGGATGTTGATGGATTTTCAATCAAAATGTTTGCAGTAAATCCACAGTCTAGTATACAGTTTGGCATTGGCATTATTCTGAAAGACTGCTAGGACATGACATTGTCTGCATGAGTTGAGATGATCTGAGACAAAGTTAGACTTCAGCAAATGGAACCTCTTTGAACCATAAAAATTAAATAACTGCTTGAACTTTGGGCTACCACATTTTTAACTTTTTTGTCATTTGGAAAAATGCTTTCACAATTGTTCTGTGCAATATTATAATCATTCAATATTACAGATTTGGGTCATTAGCAACTATGTATATTGGGGTTAAACTTGACAGTGCTTTGGTTTCAAATAGGATTTTTTACAGTTATTTTTTGAATATTCCATGTATATTATTAAAGTTAATTTAAGTATATTAATTTACCAGTACTTAATTTTTTTATTTAAAATTCTTAAATTTCAGTTCATAATAATGAATGTATTGATGCATGATACAGGTTGGCACATACACTGATTTAAAATTTTTTTTATTCTATGGTCTAGAAATATGTAATTATGGTAATTTAAATTTCTCATTGAATAATAATAATACAGGGTGATTATAATTAAAGTTCCACTTTGAAATGGACATAAAATGAAAACTGCTGGATAGAATGTTATCAAACTTGGTAATAGTGTATAGGAAGTCATGGGATTTTATTTCCCGCAAAAAAAAAGTTCAAAAACTCACCACCAATGGGAAATGGCACTGTCTGCAATATTGTTAAATGTAATAAGACATGAAGACATCATTGAAAATGTTTTTAATTGGTTTTAAAACAAAACTGTTTGTGGAGTTATGCAAGATCACAATGGCTTATAACAGGAAGAAAATGATATTCTAAGAGCTGCTGTTGAGAACACAGTAATATGATGTAACTTGCTTATCAAAAATGGTGAACACTACATTGAACATGTACTGTAATGCATTTTAAAACCGATTAAAAACATTTTCAATGATGTCTTCATGTCTTATTTCATTTAACAATATTGCAGACAGTGCCATTTCCTGTTGGTGGTGAGTTTTTAAACTTTTTTTTTTTGTGGTAAATAATATCCCATGACATCCTGTACACTATTATCAAGTTTGATAACATTCTGATCAGTAGTTTTCATTTTATGGCTATTTCAAAGTGGAACTTTAATTATAATCACCCTGTATATTATGCAATAACTTTATAAAAGAAATTTTTCATTCATTATTTTAAAATAATTTTTTTTTTTCAAATTTTGTAGTTATAGTTTTTGTAAAATTTATGTCATATTACTGTTAAAATTTTAATATCAAAATTTACTGGAATGTGATTGCATTTAATTACTGTGATTTCATGCAGATAACTCACCTTATATGTTTGAAAGGGATGCAAGTTACATGCAGATTTTAAATTCCATCACAAGTTAAAAGAAAATTATGTTAATAGTTCAAATGAATATTAAAATCATTTATAGCTGACAAAATTCTAAAAATAATTGATGCTGTGTTATAGCACTAAAACAAGCAAAACTGGTGATAAAATTCTGTTTAAACAATTACAACATTTTGAAAAAAATTAAACACAAAGTATTTTTAATATTGATAATTAAGCACAATCAAGAAAACATTTAATATTCAGTAACCAACTTTAATTTGAAAATTGACAAATGTTTTTGATCTTACATGAGATCTGCATCAGGTCAACAATGATATTTGAAATTGGAATGTGCAGAACACAACTTTTCAAACATTTTTTTATTTAATTCAAGCAAAAACATAGATGTAAAATATTCACTATATACAGTGGTACCTTGACTTACGTGTGTCCCAACTTAAAGTTTTTTGAGATATGAGCCATCTCTCGGCCGATTTTTTGCTTTGAATTGAAAGCTAAAGTTTGGGTTATGAGCCATCTTCAGATACCCAACTGTTAATTGGTGCAACGAACCATAGATTAATAAAAAGAAGATGGAAGAGTTCTGTCACAGAATGAATTAAACTAATAAGTCAAAGGCACCACTGTATATAAAGAATTGGTAGCATTTTTAACATGTATAAAATTAAAACAAACATAAATATAAGACATAAAATATTAAAAAATAATAATAATTAATTCATGTTGGTATTTCCCGGTTTTTCATAAAAGCATTGCCAAGCATACAAGAGGCTTTTTCCCTCCTTAATGTTTTTTATTCAAAATATCATACTAATATTCTTTTAACCTTTTGTGTATGAAATGCTTAGTTGATCCAATGTACAGTACATCATATCCTTTGGAACCTGTTGTCCCTCATCAGAACACTGTACTGTATACATCCCTGGGCCCAGTGTTTATTGACCCTGTCTTTTCTGTTGCATAGTACTTTGTATAACATGTGAACTTGCTTGTAGGCTAACTTGGTACCTGTAAAGTCGCCACTTTCTTTGTACAAAGTATGTAAATTATGGTCATACTCTATCACAGTACACCTGGGTTTAGAGTTATATGTTTGACTGCTTTTGGAATTTCCTTGGTTACTGAAGTTTTTACATAGGGAGTGTCAGAGTAAGTGTGAGATAAATTACAAATCAGGTCTCTTCTATATCCATGCTTTTTAGTGTGACTGAAGGGTCAGCACCTCTTTGATGTCCTGTCAGGATGACACCACTGAGTCTTGATTGACATGGAAGCCGTGCTAATTAGGTCACGTGAACGATAGCGTAACGGAGCAATCAGATTCGGGATGGAAGGAGAGACCGCACACCGGAAGTGACTTCTACAGAGACAGGTTAATGTAACAACCATTTAATCGGCCATACAGGATATACTATATATTGATTTCAAATATGCGTGATTTTAGATACATTTGCTACAATTGATATTAGATATATATAATGGGCATTAAAGTGGACATAAAATTTCGGTTAAAGTTCCGTGGTTCTCTCTCGAGAGAGAGAGAGAGAGAACCACGGAACTCTCTCTCCACGTGGTTCTCTCTCTCTCTCAAGAGAGAGAGAGTTTACAGTAGTTGCACGTGGCAATAAATACCTTGTATGAAATCTTGATCTGTTGCAAGCCAGTTGGACAGAAAGGAAGACAGTTTTGGACGACAAGTCTTATTCCCACANTGTATTAAAAAACTTTCCTAAGTTTTATGGCAATCGTACTATGCCACAAACCTGCGCGAGAGTATATTAAACAACTTCCCAAAGTTTCATGGCAATCGGATAAACGGTGTGGTAATGCATGAAGGACATAAGACAGACACACAGACACACACACACAGACATACATTCATTTTTATATATATAGATTATTAAATTCCATTGCCCATTCTATTCTGATATGTTTCCAAACACATTTTTAACTTAAAGACGATTGCTAAAGGCAATTGAAAATGTTCATTTTTCTCCATCATTTTGTTTCAGAAGTGAAATTTTTGGTTGTGTAAGTGTTTTGAATATTATCCAGTTTTCAGTGTTCTAATTCATTGTAGAAGAATAACACCTGGTAGACTCTTAAATCAACTGTTCTGATAATATATCTGTTTTTTGTTTCCATTTATTACTTTTATTTTTAAATTATACTATTTTGTTACATCTTAAACATTTGTTATTTTTACATCAAAAATACTATTACATTGCATTATAATTT